CTTTAACGATGTGGTTGTGCCCCCCTAGTGGCTGTGTGGTGGTACTGCAGGGGTTATCATGATTTATTTATTTTTGTCAAAGATATGTCTTTAAACACACATCATGAATCCATCATGCAACAGATTAATACATGGAGGCATAAACTCATGTATTTCAGCCTGAGCACATCATGTCTATAGGGGGTCTTAGTTCCGCCTCCTTATCAGTTTAGTCGTCCCAGATTAAAAAATTATAGACCCCCCCCCCCGATTCAAAGCATTGAAATTAAATAAGGTGAGGGAATTTGACTTGACTGTAGAAGCTTCTGATGTTACATCACAGGTAATAAAACAAATGTTTTCTGTTAGTTTGCAGACGCCGTCACCACAGCCGGTCCTTCAGAGGGTCGAGCTAACGAAGGTTTAGATCTGGAGAGTCTTCTCACCACCCTGCAGAGAGACCCGTTCTCCACTCGGAAGCAGCTGCCTCGAACGCCTGAGAGCTTGAGTGAGTTAACTTTCTTTATGTTTTTAAATTCTAAACCCTGGATTTTATTTATTTAGTTATTTATTCATTTATTTATTTATTTATTATTAAGTTCTGGATGTGAAAAGCTCCTGGAGAAAGGCGGTTGAAGAAGACAAAGCTACAGATCCTTCCTCGCCGGCAGGGCTAGACGACAGTCTGACCGGACGACTCAGTCGGACTCAGAACGCGAGCCCCTTCGCCCCCCCGGTGACTGTTTCCCGTACCGACAGCACCCCTGTCTGCCAGCAGGAGGTGGGACAGAAATCTTCTCTCCTGTGGGACACGTTCCACACCGCGGCCCTCGACATGGAGACCCTCCCYGAGCTGCCGAGCTGCGACAGTCTGAGCCTGGAGGACGAGCAGGGAGGAAGCCACGGCAGCTCTCCTGTGGAGAACGAGAGGACGAGCCGGAGTCCTCTGTGGGACAAGGACTGGCTGACGGGACCTGGAGCCTCAGAAAACACCAACAAGGTGTTTTCACTGGATCTGGATTCACTGGACCCACCTTCACCGGGACAGAAACCAGAATACTGCCTCCCCAAACTCATCACCTTCTCCCCTGTAGATGATATGAAGTGGTAGCTGCAGTCACAAGAGCCACTCTTAGAAAAAAAAAAAACACTCTTAGCTCTTTATTTTTAATTTGTAACTAATAGATGTAAATAAACAGTTGTTTCACAATAAATAAAATATGATCATTAAACTGTCTCATTTGAAGTAAGGTTTTATGAAATGTTCTTAATCACTTCACTGTTGAACAAGAAACCATTTCATGCTAACGGCTAGTCTGAGCGAAGCCACAGTGGCTTTCTGCCATTTTTAAAATGTTCTCCAGTCTCAGTGGTTGATTCATGTTTTCATTGAAACGGTGATGACACAAGTTGAAAAACATGTAATGATTTTCCTGATTTGCTTGAAAACACCATTGAGAAACAACCTGCAGAAAAATAAAATACTTACAATGAACAGGTTCCTCTGCTGTTGACTGTTGTTTGGTGTTTATTGAACTGGAGCTTCAGTAGCAGGTGGAAGAACCATACACAGCCTCTGTATGAGTCAGACGTTTCAGAAACTAAAGGGAAAATTAAAACTGAATATTCCAGTAAGTAATGGTTGAGGGGAGCTGTCTGTCAGGACAATGGTTTCTAACGAGGGGCGCTCAGAGGTTAAAAAATCACCAAAATAAACATTTAAATAAAACTAACCCCCCCCCGCACACACACACACCATTTCAAAATAAAAGTTTGAAACTACTCACTTTATTGTTTTGATAAACAGATACAGATTGAATGCATATTTGGGAGAGGTGGGGGGTAGCGAGGGAATTTGGGGTCGGGGGCTTGGAAATAAGGAAGAGGGGCTTTAAGGAAAACAGGTTATGAACCACTGCTCTTTTTTTTTTTTTT